CCTGAAAATCCACATGCCATCGACTATGTTCGCCCAGGTGGGGGAAACTCGTCGACGTAGGTGCCTGTGGACTTCCAGGAAGCCATCTCTGCGTCCATGGCTATCTGCCACTGAGAGGAGTACGGACCCATGATCGCGTCTGCGCAAGAGCGCGGGGTCGGGATGTCCAGTGCATCCGGGTCTCCCTCAGGGCAAAGTAGCGGGGACGCGAGATGAGGTGCAGCGGCCGCGAGGCACTCCAGCTCAAACTGCCTATCCTCAAGAACGTCACAGCCAAGAGCAAGCTCACCCCCGACGGGCGGAGGACAGGAAGAGTCAAAAACAAGACTCGCAGCGTATTCAAGGGGGCACAAAGCAGCAAAGTCAACAAGCTCAGCAACTAAGGCAGACGCAGCAGCAGACTCAAAGGAAGGGTCAGTCACAACTGTGGCAAGGAGACGAGTGACAGTCGGACTGGCAGTACGGACAAGGTCAGACTCAGGGTCAGGAACGTGAGGAGGAGAAGACGCAGGAGGAGACGTCAGGACAACACGCTGTGGAATAGAGGAAGGACGAAGTGCCATAAGGTGAGTGCCTGGCAGAGCTGGAGCACGAGGAGGGGCAACACGACGAGCACGAACAGGTGTGGAAGCACTGGTCTCAGGCCCACGACGCTCAGTCAGGGACTCAGTCACCTCAGTGTGAGGGGCAGGAGCAGGCAGCGGGGAGCCAGGCAGTAGCTGTGGCTGAGACTGGTCAATCGGTGGGAACAGTAACGGAGGAGTAGTACCAGCAACCGGGAACTCAGTAGCAGCAGGCGGAAGACTGAGAAGGTGACTAAGTGCAGACAGCTGCGGCTGCGACTGCGAAGCTGCTGCGGCGAGAGCGACTCATGCTGACTAGCACCACCAACTCCAGTACCTCCAGTAGCACCTCCAGTGTCAGCACCGCGAGTACCCCCAGTAGCACCTGTGCCTCCAGCACCAGTACCTCCAGCACGACCAACTCCAGGAACACCAGTACTAGCACCTCCAGAACCTGCAACTCTAGCACGTCCAGCGCCACCACCAGGACTGCCCCAACGGACAGCCCACTCGCGAAGCCGCTCCGACGAGAGAGGCTCATGGCGACGTGAGCCAGGACTACCCGCAGCAGCACGCACAGTAGCAGCACCTCCAGTACCTCCAGTAGCACCTGTGCCTCCAGCACCAGTACCTCCAGCACGGCCAACTCCAGGAACACCAGCACTAGCACCTCCAGGGCCAGCACCTCCAAAACCTGCAGCTCCAGCACGTCCAGCGCCGCCACCAGGACTGCCCCAACGGACAGCCCACTCGCGAAGCCGCTCCTGCGAGAGAGTCTCCTACCGCCGTGCACCAGCACCACCAGCACCAGCACCACCAGCACCAGCACCACCAGCACCTCCACCCGCAGAACCTCCAGCAGCAGCACCTCCAGCACCCCCTGCACCCGTAGGACTTGCAGCATCCCCAGAGCCAGCACCCCCAGAGTCCGCACCCCCAGTGTCACCACCTCCAGCGACACCAGAGTCCACAGCGACGGGCCGCAGAGGCGTGAAGACGGTCGAGGCGGAAAACCAGGAGGGACCGCCAAGCGCGCGGAGCGGTGAGGGGCCACGGTGTCGGCAGCAGTCTGGTCACCCCCCTCAGCTGGGCCAGAGGTGTCTGAGGAGACCTCCAAAGGCTCAACCAAGGGGGGTGGGTCTACCCGAGACACACCTGAGGGAGCGGGACCGGGAGGAGGGAGGGGTACTACCGGGGGGGGGGGGGGGGGGTCGTCCACCAGGGAGAGAGGCGGGAGGGGTACCGGGGAACTGCGGTGGGGGTGAAGACGGTAGAAGCAGACGGACTCGTCAAAGGTGATGTCGCAGGAGGACAGCACACGACGAGAGCCCGGGTGGTAAAACTGCCAGGGCGGTGTGTCGGTGGGAAAGCCAAGGAACACGCACCGAAGAGTGCGTGGAGAGAGCTTGCCCGCGGGCAAATTGCGGACAAGAGAGAGGGAACCCCAGACCCGAAACGCCGACGAATCACCAACCTCGCCCGTCCACCACAAAGTGGGGGAGGACTCCGTGTGGGAGACACGGGGCCAGAGGTTGAGCTGCTCAGCGGCGTATCGGACCACAAACGACCACAGAAAATGGGAAGCAGCCTCATGGATCATGGAGGTGCGAGCAACCTTCATGACCAGACTAATGCGGCGCTCGGCAATCCCATTTTGCTGTGGAGAGGCGGGAAGCGTGTACGACTGGGAAGTCCTCGAGGAGGCGGGAACAAAACTCACCACCTCGGTCAGAGTGCAGCCACAGGACTGGGAGGTCCTGAAGGAACCGAGCGCGAAGCTGGAGACGGACAGTGCGGATCCAACGGATCAAGACACCACGGACATCCACCTTGCTCTGCAAGGGGAAGACCGTGGTGTAGCGCGTGTAGTCGTCGACAACCAGCAGAAAGTAGCGCTCGCCACCCTGTCCAGTGATGCGGGCGGGGCCCCACACGTCCATGTGCAGGGTGTGCAGAGGAGCAGTTGTAGGAGGAAACGAGGAGGAGTGAGGAGCGGCGCGCTGCCGCCCCTCGACGCAGGGAAGGCAGGGCGGTGCAAGCGACCTCGGAAGCGGGGGCAGGGACCTGGGGAGACCAGACACAAGGAGACGGGAGTGCATGCCACGCAGGCGTGGCAAGGAGGGGTGGCCAATACGGTGGTGCCAGAGGAGAGTCTGGTGCGTGAGGAGACGACACGAGCAAGACGCAGCGACCTCAACCGACGCAGCTACCTGACCTGACTCAGCTACCAGTGCAGACTCAGTGGTCAGTGTGTACCGGCCAGACCCAGGTCTCCGAGTGAACGTGGCGAGGTGCTCACCAGTGCGCGAGTCCGTACAGATCACCACGAGCTCGCCTCCAGGCTGGGTGACAGTGACCCACTGATCCTGGAGTAGCCACCAAGTTTTTAGCGAACGAGGGGAGGTGGAGACCTGTGAGGAGGCCGGAAGGGGCCGCTGGACAAGGGAGAACAGTGGCGCCACGCGCGACTACCTGGCCCCCGGAGGGGTCGGCCAGTGTGACAGAGACAGGGACTGTGAGCGGTGTGACTGTGGTGCTGTCGCAGAAGAAGCAACGAGACGCGCCTGAGTCGAAAGTAATAGTCTGCAAGGCCTCCTCAGGCTCTGCACCTGTGCTAGCTGAGTCAAAAGCACCAAGACTAGCAGCCTCTACCCTAGCAACACTAGGCACACACGAGTAACAGTCATCCTCAACACTAGCAGAAGCAGCAAACATCGCCGAAAGACCTCACCGCACGCAGGGAGAGAACAGAGGATGGGTGCACATTGCACCCAAGAGCACACGAAACTCACCAGGGAAATGCGCTCCATGCGACGAATGCCGAAACCCCCAAGGCGGATGGGGAGGAAGATCTGGTCTCGAGCGGCATCTCTGACGTCCTCGCGGCATGCTCAGGTCCCTGACGCTAAAAGCTGCTGAAAAGTCTCTCCCAGGCGTGCGTCCCAGCGCGCGAAGCTGGAGAGCACTGCAGGCGGGGGAGGGACAGTCCTCGACATGTACTGCGGGCGAGTGCTGACACATGCCGAAAGAAGGCGAGCGGCTGTCTGGGGCTGGCGCAACCTCGGAAGCCAAGGTAGCACCCGCCCCATCTTCTCGAGACGATCCGGGACGCTGCGCTCCACAAACGAATCGGTACCCACCAGCACGCCTGTCACAGTGAGTCCTCGGCGTGCGACCTCGACCCCAAGGCTCGTGAAAGCCTCCACGTCTCTGGACAAAAAAATAGACGAGGCACTTGTGCGATTGGACCGCGAGGCCCATCTCGCCCAAGCGCCTCACGATCCCAAGCACCCTATCTGGGGGGCCTAGCACGTACGTGTCATCGGCGTACGACCAGAGCTGGACATCGCCCTCCGTCAGAACCGGCTCCAGGGCAAGTCGCTGTGTCAGAGTGTACAGGAAGGGGCTGAGGGGGTCTCCCTGGCCACTGCCGCGCTCCGAGTGCATCGTGACCACTCCCTCACCTGTCCTGTAGTGGAGATCCGAGGGCGTCCCGTAGAAAAGGCCGATGAAGGGGATGAGGCACTGGAACTCTGGGCTGGCCTGCAAAGCCTGGAACATCATGTCTCGGTGGAATGAGTTAAAGGCGTTCGCCACGTCTAGCCACCCAATCCGGGTGGTCAGCCAGAGCGCGGCGGACACCTCTAACTACGACCTCTGTGCCACACGTCACCCCCACCCCAAACTGCTGAGACGCCAAGAAGACCCTCGCCATCTGATCGCGTAGCTGGAGGCAAACTGCTCGCGAAAGAATGCGGACCAACACATCGCCAATGGCAATCGGCCGAACATCCATGTTCGACTTCGCCAGAGCCACGAGGGTGGAAGACGCCAATAAAGAGCGCGTAGCTAGAGCGCATTGACATCGGAGCCACTGCTGGTACACAGCTAGAAGAGAGGGGAGACTCTGAGGGAAAGTCAGGAAAGTGTCTCGAAGGTGCTCAGCAACCCACCCGGACGGTCCTCCCGAGGAGCCACGCGGAGCTGTGAAGATGGCGTGACGTAGGTGATCCGTCGAGAGCACGAGAGCAGTCCCCCGGTAGTCCGACAGCCAAGCTGGGGTCGGCCTCTCCGCGTTGGGGTGCTTCGACTGTAGGCGATGTGTCGTCCCCTGTGTATCTGGGGCGGCCTCCGCGGACTCGAGAGCCGCGCAGGCCCGTGAGGTCTCATTGCACGCTGCCAGACGGAGGCATCGTGCAATGCGACGCTCATCTGCGGTGGACTGGGTGGTGACGGGACGTGCGTGCCGGGATGTGCGTCGAGGAAGGGGGGTGCGACGGATCAGGGCCTCAGAGAGTAGCATGAAGCGGGAGACCCGTGCTGCGATGGCAGTCGTGTGCGAGCGGTCTGGCGGGGTCGCCTGCGTCAGGAGAAGTGTATATGCAACGGCGAGGAGGAAGGTAGGGCCTGGTGCCTCGGGATCCTGGGATACACGGGCTAAGATCGTGCAGAGGACGTCAAGATATCCTCCGCGGACCCCAGGAGGAATGCGTCGGAGAGGGCGGGCGTGGGTGCGCTCTGGCGAGAAATACTCCGACCAGTCGAAGGAGTCCAACGTCTACTACTGTGCATCTGTGAAATGCGTCCTCGTCCCCTGTGGCTCCGAGAGGGATGGGCCTGTGCCCTACGAGCTGCGTCCGCAGGATGGCAGAAGGGCGTGTGGTGCTGAAGTGCACGTCGGTTCGCGAGAGAGCTCCTGCAGGTGGGGCATCTCACGACCTGGTCGGGTGATGTCGCCGTGTCGGTGGGGTCAATCGGGGCCGTGGCGTCAGAACTGGCTGTAGAGGGGACCCCATGGGCGGCCTGAGCTCCAACAGGATCGCCTGGGATAAGGGGAGGAGAGGACTCACCGGCCCCGTGCAGGGGGGGTGTCGGAGAAGTTGGAGGTGGTGCCACACAGGATGGGGCCGGGCCTCGTGGCGGTACCGGTCCCGAAGCTAGGGAGGGGGGACGTGGAGGTGAGCCTGAAGTGTGTGCCGTGGTGTGCCCCTGTCCCTCGGCGGGGTGCGTTCCAAGTGGCGGCTCTGCTACCCCAGGCGGAGGGGTCTCGGCAGGGGCGGATGCCTCATCCCTAAAGTTGGTGCCCTCCTGCGCCACGGGTAGTGTGTCGGCAACGCGCTGAACGGGGGGAGGCGCCCCCACGTCTAGGTGCGAGTGACACGGCCTCGGAACCAGGTCCGTCTCCATCGGGGACGGGAGTGACGCGCCTGGCTGAGTAGTGGGGGGGATAAAAGAAGGGACAGAACGGGTGACCTCCGCATACGTCCGGGTCCGGACCTGTGGGACTGGTAGGGTGGGGGCAGCCGGGGAGCTGCCCGGGCTCTGTATCGCCAGCAAATCTGAGATGGCAGGGTAGAGGGTGGGGTGAGGCGTGCTGGCTGAGCAGAGCTCGGGTGTGGACCCTGCCCTAGAAAGCCCCCTTGGCCCTCCCCAATCACCATGGGTTGCGGTAGGGGGCCGTCGACATGGTTGGGGTGGGAGGCATGGGAGGGGGAGTTGGTGGCGTCTACCATGGCCGCATCCCTCATCCCGTCGGCCTCCATCCCGGCAGCGCACGCGGCTGCCGCCACCTGGGGGGGGTTTAGAGGAAGGGAGAGGCGCCCCGGGGTTGAATGGGCTGGTCCGCTCCTATGGCCCTGTGGAGGTGCAGGTGCGGGAAGGGAGTGTAAGTTTGGTGGTCGGCCTGTAGGGGTAGGGTCTGGTGCAGGTTCAGCGGGATGTGGGGTGAGGAGGGGCTCCTGGTGGGGGAGGGAGGGAGGGGGCAGTAGGTGGGCTGACCCTCTGCCTCCTCTGCCTTTGTTCTTCCGTCGGCGGCCACCCTGGTTTTCGTTGTCCCTGCCTGGTTGTGAAGGAAGGGGGGGCTGAGGGGCCACAGGGGTGGGTGGGGGGAGGATGGGTGGTTTGCCAGGCGGGGGGAGCTCTGTGTGCATCCCCTCCCTCCCCGAGACATCACCCTCCGTGGGGACAGACCGGGTGGGCTGTGCGTGGGGGGCGATGGCTGTCCAACGGGGCCACTCGTGGGGAACCGGGCCAGGAGAGGGGGTTGTAGGTGGGGGTCGAGGCGCTGGAGCGGTGTGGGGGTTAGAGCGAGGTACAAGCGGTGGGGGAAGAGAGGTTTGTGGTGGCTCCGTGGTGGCCTCTCCTGTGGGCCCCTCCACCAGGGTGTTGTTGCTCCCATGAGCCTTGGGCACAAGCCCTTGCGGGTGGGTCTTGGCTGCCTAGGGGGGGTGGTGTGAGGAGGGCAGCCCGCTGGGTGAACGTGTTGGGTCTGTGCGGCGATTCTGGTGGTTTGGGTGCATGTAGCGTGTGGGAGAGAGATCTGGCCGCGGAGATGCTTCAACCTCCGAGATGTGTGTAGCTCCGGGTGGGGGAGGACCTGGTGGAGGGGGGGGTAATGGGCTGGTAGGGGGTGACTGGGTGTTGGTGGGAGTCGGGGAGCATGGCTCCGCCAGGAAGGCCAGAGCCCTGGCTGCTCCACGTGGTCCTCGGGGGAGTCCCTGAGGGTGGGGGCAGAAGTGTGCTGCCCTCGGGGGGGAGGGAAGGAGTGAGGGAAGGGGCAGGGAGGGGTGTGAGGTGAGAAAAGGGGTGCCCTCGGGTGGCTCTGCCCTTGTCGCACCCGCGCGCTCTCCCGGTGGACCGCCTGCAAGCGTGGGGTCAGGCGTTGGGGAAAGAAGGGGGGGCTGGCCATGGAACAGCGTAGGGGTCGGGGAGCACGGCTCCGCCAAGAAGGCAAGGGCCTTGGCTGCCTCCCAGGATGCTAGAGGGAGCCCCTGAGGGTGGGGGTTGGGATGTGGTGCTCTTGGGGGGGGGTGGGCTGGAGGACGGGGGGTAAGGATGGGGGCGCCCTCGCGGGGCTCTGTCCTCAAAGTCTCCTCCAACCCCTCCATTGGTCCATCTGCCAGCATGGGGCCGGGCATGGGGGGGGAAGGGGAAACCTCGTCATTAGGCTGCAGGGGGCCTGGGTCGGCCTCACCGTCAGGTGTGAGGTACTGGGCCAGTGGCCCGTCGATGTGCATCACGTCCTCTACCGCATCCTCGTCCATCACTATCACATCCCCTCCTCCCAAAACCCCCCTAGTTGGAACCCCACCCACCCCTCCTGCCCCTATGTACCCTGAGCCAGCCCCCCCTGTTGGCTCTTTACTGCCAGCCCTTTCTGCGGCCTCTTCCGCTCCAGATACAGCCTCAGTCGGCCCTGCTGTGGCCTCTACTGCACCTAATGCCGCCTCTGCTGTCAACATATATTTTATATGTTTAGTTTATGTTAGTCTAGGTGTACCATTTCATATTCCTAGGGTTAGCTATATCCTCTTGTATCTCGTTTCCCTTAGTCAATCTTTTCACCCGTTCTAGTCTTGACATGGTATAGAGCTAGTCGACCCTATGGGCCCACCGCCCCGTGCCCCGACCTAGGAACGTAGCCACTTAATACCCGAAGCGCCCTGCTACCCCCCCTTAGCTCGCGCGTCACCCGTAGTGCCCTGAGCGCGTCATCCGTTTAGCCCAGAGCGTCACCCGTTTTTCACCCGCGCCTCACCCGTTTTCTGCCCGTGCGTAGCTCGCCAGCCCGCTAGCGCGCAGCAGGCCCATGCGCACGTGCAGTCGTAGCCGCACATGCGACCGCGCGCACGCGCAGCATTAGCCGCACGCACGTGCAGCATTAGCCGTACGCACGCGCGGCATTAGGAGCACGCACGCGCGGCATTAGCAGCATGCACGCGCGGCCATAGCTGCACGCACGCGCAGCAATAGCCGCACGCACGCACAGCCCGCCAGCTGCGGTACCATCTCACCCGTCCCCGCTGACCCACCTGGTGCCCGCTGTACCACCCGTCCCAGCCGCCCCACCAGTTACTCTCCCCCGCCCAGAACCGTACAGCACCGCGTAGAAACGCACAGAACCGTGCGACACCGCCCAGAACCTTACCTGCTGACCCATCCGCACCAGCCAGAGCTGCTACCCCACCCCGTACTCTCCACCGCACTGAACCGTGCAGAACCGCGCAGAACCGGGCAGAACCGCACTGAACCGTGCAGAACCGCGCAGAACCGGGCAGAACCGCACAGAACTGCGCAGAACAGCACAGAATCGTGCGGCGCCGCCCAGAACCTTACCTGCTGACCCACCCACACTAGCCAGAGCTGCTACCCCACCCGGTACTCTCCCTCGCACAGAACCGTGCAGCACCGCACTGAACAGGGCAGAACTGCACAGAACCACGCAGCACCGCACAGAACTGCACCCACTGCCCCACCTGTACCAGCCAGAGCTGCTGCCCCACCCGTTCCCGTCACCACACCAGTAACCAGCCGCTATCCACCTCACTGAACCACGTGGTACCGCTCTCAAACGTACTAGACCCCACCCGAGCGTGCCCGTTCATTGCCCTCGCGCCAGGGCCTCCTCCCATGGCCACTTCTCGTATTCTCACGTTTGATCCTGAGGGTAGGCCGGTAGACTTCCCAGGATGGCTCCGCAAACTCAAGCTTTTCCTAGGGAGTAGGATCGAGAACGACGTTCGCCTTCTGGACCATGCCATGGGCAAACTCGTAGCCCCGAAGGAACCCGACCCCTTAGGTTCCTCCCCGTCGGACGAAGAGGAAGCTCGCTTTGAGAAGCTGCAGCTGGCGGCCAGTCGGTGGGCGGCGCGGGACGACGCCACAGTGCTCGCCATCACCGATCTCCTGCCCCTGACAGAGCAGCAGCACTTCGAGCAGGAGGTGACGGCCAAGGGCCTGTTTGATGCTGTCGTCAAACGTTATTCCATCCCAACCACTGCTTCCCTCGGTCGGCTTGTACTGCCCTTCCTATTTCCTGACCTGCCCTCGTTTCACCGCGTCCCTGACCTTGTGCTGCACTTGCGCTCGCTTGATGCCCAGCTCCGTTCTGCTGCCCCTGATGATGCCCTACTTGCCGCCAACCCCCCCCCGATGTGGATGACACTGTACCTGCTGTCCACCCGCCTCCCTGACCGTTTTGCTACAGCCCGTGACCACTTTCTCACTGTTAACCCCATGTCCCTCACCATTGACCTCTTTGAGAAGAGGCTCACTGCTGTTGAGGACCTTGCCCGTTCCCTTGCTGCTGCCTCCGGTACTGCCCTCCCCCCCATCTTTGAGGGATGTGCTCCGTCCTTCCTAGCTTCCCCTGTCGATTCGGCGTCTGTTGCCACTGTACCAGAGGTGGCAGCCGTTGCCCTTGGCAACAAAGGGGGCAAGAAGGGGGGTAAGAAGGGAGGAGGTGGTGGCAGTGGTGGGGGTGGCGGAGGGGGCGGTGGTGGGGGTGGCGGAGGGGGCGGTGGTGGAGGTGGCGTAGGGGGTGGTGGTGGAGGAGGTGGAGGGGGTGGGAGTGGTGGAGGAGGCGGAGGAGGAGGCAGTGGAGGTGGAGGTAGTGGGGCCCCCCAGCAGCAGCAGCCTCACCAGCAGCAGCCGCAGCAGCCGCAGCCACAGCAGCAGCGGCAGCAGCAGTTCCAGGGCCAGCGCCAGCAGACGCCGCAGCAGCAATGGAGGTCCCCTGGACCCGGGAGCTCTGTCAGCAGCAGCGGCCCGCCCAGCTGGACGTCGCGTGGTCCAGCCCAGCACCCCCCCTGCCAGTATAGGGTGCTGACTGGGCCGCGTGGAGGCTACCCTTGTGGCCGCTTCCACCCCCCGGGTCAGTGCTTTGCACAGCTCACTGACCGCTACCGTGCGCAGTTTGGCCCCACCCGCACTGTCCCCGATTGGGCCTCACTGGCTCGTTCTGTTGGCCCGCAGTTGTATAGCATGACTGCACCTCAGTTAGATGAGGTTGTGCGTTCTATGTCTGTGATGTATGCCGATGACTCTATTGTTGATGATTTTGCGTACTATTCCTGTTTCTCTAGCTTAGGTGCTGTAGAGGTTGCTAGTGCTTTCCCTGCTAGCGTAGCTTGTCCAGGTTCGACCACCGAGACTGCGTCCCTGTCGTTCACACTCGACTCTGGGGCGTCCAGCTGTTTCTTTCGTGACCGCGCCGACCTCACACCACTACGCACCCCCGTCACTGTTGCCTTGGCCGACCCCTCTGTGGGACCTGTGGTTGCTCGCAGCACCACCACTCTCCCGTGTCCGGCTGCTCCCTCTGGGGTCCTTACAGGTTACTACACCCCCTCGTTCTCTAGGAACCTGGTGGGTGTCAGCCACCTCCACGACCTCGGAGTAGTCACCACTTTTCCCTTAGAGGAGTCAGTTGCCTCCTGCACAGTCGGTACCACTGGGGCCCCTCTGGCCACCTTTCGCAGGGAGCCGGGCTCTGGTCTGTACTCACTACACACCGGGTCCCACCACACTGGGTCAGGTCTGGTCAGGTCAGGTCAGGTAGCCGCTGTGTCGTGTGACTGTCGGTCCCTCACCCACCCGTCGGTCCTCTGGCACCACCGTCTAGGTCACCCGTCGTTCCCACGTCTCAGTAGGATGGCACGTCACCGTCTGGTCTCAGGTCTCCCAGCGTCGCTTGCCCCGCTTCCCCGCTCTCCAGCGCCGCCGTGCACTCCTTGCGTCGAGGGTCGGCAGCGCGCTGCCCCTCACTCCTCCTCGTTCCCCCCCACCACGTCTCCCTTCCAGACCCTGCACTTGGACGTCTGGGGCCCCTCCCCGGTCCTTGGCCCACGTCAGGAGCGCTACTTCCTGATTGTGGTGGACGACTACTCCCGCTACACCACGGTTTTCCCTTTGCGACGGAAGGCCGACGTGCCTACCGTCCTCGAGCCGTGGCTACTAGCGAGGGGTGGCGCCCAGGGCCTGTGTGGGCTCCGTCTACACTCGGATCGTGGTGGTGAGTTCTCTTCCACTCGACTGGAGACGTTCTGTCAGGGTCGGGGGATCATCCAGTCTTACACGTTACCAGCCTCGCCGCAGCAGAACGGGGTAGCCGAGCGTCGCATCGGCCTGGTCATGGAGGTTGCCCGGACCTCCATGTGCCATGCCGGTGCCCCCCAGTTCTTGTGGCCCCAGGCAGTCCGCTACGCCGCGCACCAGCTGAACCTGTGGCCTAGTGACGCACGGCCACGGGTGACGCCGGTCTCCCTTTGGACAGGTTCTCCGGGCGTAGCAGCTGACTTCCGTGTCTGGGGCTCTCTGGCTCACGTTCGCGCCCCTGGCGCGAACAAGTTGTCTCCGCGCACCCGTGCCTGCGTCTTTCTTGGTTTCCCTTTGGACGCCTCCGGCTGGTTGTTCTACGACCCGGCCACCTACCAGTTCTTCGCTTCTCAGGACGTCACGTTCGACGAGTCTGTCTGTTACTACAGGAGTCGCCCCCACCGAGGTACTGAGGCCTTTTCCCCCCCGCTGTTCCTCACCCTTGAGCCCCCCCCAGTCGCCCCGGTAGCCCCCCCCCCTTCGCGTCCTGCCCCGTCAGGTGTGTCGCACGTCACTCCGCAGTCGTCCCCCCCTCAGCGTCCAGTCCGTGTCGTGTTTGAGGGTGCGGGAGGTGCAGTTGCGGAGGGTGAGGGTACTGGGGCTGCAGGAGCTGGTGGTGTCGGCTCTGGGGGTGCAGGGGTTGTGGGTGTGGAGGTCACTCCCGTGGAGGACACGGCAGCCTCGAGCCGGCGGCCTCGCCCCGCGTCACCCCCTGGCTTCCCGTCCGTCCCGCAGTTCCCTCCTCGTTCTTCTCTGCGGCCGGTTTCTGCGGAGCCCGGGGGTGCTACTGCGGGAGGCACTGGAGGCTCCGGGGGTGTCGACGGTGGAGGTATTGGTTCTAGGGGTGCTGGAGCTGGAGGCACTGACACTGTGGCGCCTACACCGCGCACTGTACGTTTCCTGACCCGTGAGCAGCGTCTCTTCCAGTTGGAGAGGGAGGAGCGTGCGCGGTTTGAGAGGGCACAGCAGCAGCAGCAGCAGCAGCAGCAGCAGCAGCAGCAGCAGCAGCACGAGAGAGTAGAGGAGGAGTCACAGCCGCAGCAGGAGAGGGTAGAGGAGGAGTCACGGCCGCACCAGGAGAGGGTAGAGCAGGAGTCCCACCCGCAGCAGCAGGTGCAGTTACAGACCCGGCAGGAGCGAGTAGAGGAGCAGTCACCGCCGCACCAGGAGAGGGTAGAGCAGGAGTCCCACCCGCAGCAGCAGGTGCAGTTACAGACCCACCAGGAGAGAGTAGAGCAGGAGTCTCACCCGCAGCAGTAGGTGCAGTTACAGACCCAGCAGGAGAGAGTAGAGGAGGAGTCCCGGTCCCAGCAGCGGGTGCAGCTGCAGTCGCAGCAGGAGAGGGCAGAGGCGGAGCCACAGGAGCAGCAGCAGGGGCCGGTACCGTCGCAGCAGACGCCAGAGGAGGCGGAGCAGCACCGACTGCGACTACGCGACCTCCCCGACCCATCACCTGCACGCTTTGTTCGTGGTCCCCTACCGTCCCCTCCTGTTCCCCCTGTTGAGTCCCTTTCCTCGTCCCAGTGGACTCGTCGTTCTCCCCTCAGTCGTGCTGTGTCCCCAGAGCGTCGTCGGTCCCGTTACCGTGCAGACGGTCCGTTCCACCTCGTTCTTCGCTCTCGTGTTCCACCTCCTCCCGTCCTTCCACAGCCCCCTGAGTCGTCCCTCACTGTGCTTCACGACCCGTTGTCCGACTACCTTCGTGCCTCCCGTCCTGTTGTCTCCCGTGTTTTGTCCGCGTTGGTCACTCACCCGACTGCACCCTTGTCGTCTGTCTCAGCACTTGTGACCACTGTCGCTGACTTTGCCTCTTCCCACCGCCTTGACTACGCCGCTCACCTGGTGAGTGGCGCTGCTCGTTCTCCGTCCTCTGGGGGTGCTCCTGTCTTTCCCTTGGAGGTCCTGGAGGACAGTCAGTTTGAGCTTGGTTTCCTTGCGGCCGCTGTTCCTCACCTCTGCGCCATGCTGCTTGCCCCTGAGGGGGATCCAGACGCTCTTGACATTCCGATCCCTCGCACTCACGCTGAGGCGGTCTCGGGACCTTGGGCCTCGTACTGGATAGCAGCTGAGGAGGCAGAGATGGCATCTTATAGGTCCACAGGCACTTACGTCGACGCAGTCCCACCACCTGGGACGAACGTCGTCAGTGGCCGATGGCTCTACAAGGTGAAGCGGCCGCCTGGATCACCACCAGTGTTCAAGGCGCGCTATGTGGCGAGAGGCTTCAGTCAGCGAGCGGGGGTGGACTTCTTCCAGACCTTCGCTCCCACCCCGAAGATGAGTACTCTTCGGGTGTTGCTGCACATTGCAGCCCAGCGCGACTACGAGTTGCACTCTCTAGACTTTTCCACCGCGTTCCTTCAGGGGAGCCTGCACGAGCAGATCTGGCTGCGTCGCCCGCCTGGCTTCACTGGCACTTTCCCACCTGGGACCCAGTGGCAGCTGCGTCGACCAGTCTACGGCCTGCGTCAGGCTCCACGTGAGTGGCACGACACACTTCGCTCGACCCTTGCAGCGCTTGACTTCTTTCCGTCGTCTGCCGACCCGTCACTGTTCGTCCGCCGTGGCTCGACCCCGTTCTTTGTTCTTGTTTACGTTGACGACCTGGTCTTCGCCACTCCCGACCGACACGCACTGGCCTCCGTGAAGGAGGAACTGCAGAGGAGACACACTTGCACTGACCTTGGTGAGCTGCAGCACTACCTTGGCCTGCAGATCACTAGGGACAGGGCAGCTCGCACCATTACGCTGACGCAGTCGCATATGGTCGAGCAGATCCTCACGCGGTTTCGCTTCCCGTTCTCCAAGGTACAGCTCACCCCTCTTGGTGTGGATCATGGGCTCACGGCTCCACCTTCGGACGAGTCATTTGAGCCCAGTGGTCCATATCCTGAGCTGGTGGGTTGTCTCATGTACCTGATGACATGTACTCGCCCAGACCTAGCTTACCCTCTTAGCGTCCTTGCGCGCTTTGTTGCGCCTGGGAGACACCGACCGTCCCACTGGTACGCTGCTAAGAGGGTGGCGAAGTATGTGGCGAGTACATCAGGCATGGGACTTGTCCTTGGAGGGAAGCAGCCAGTTACACTCACAGGTTACTCGGACTCGTCGTGGGCCGACGACGCGGAGACGCGTCGGTCTACACAGGGGTACTCCTTTAGCCTCGGGACAGGTGCTGTTTCGTGGCGGTCGACTCGGGCGTCGTCCGTCTCCGGTTCCAGCTGTGAGGCAGAGGTGTACGCTGCGGCCATGGCCGCTCAGGAGCTTCGCTGGCTGTCTTTCCTTCTCACCGACCTTGGTGAGCGGCCTCGCTCTCCCCCAGTCTTGTTCGCCGACAACAGGTCTGCTGTCCTGTTGTGTGAGGAGCCCCGACTGGTTGGGAAGTCGAAGCACATCCAGCTTCGTTACTTCCTTCTGCGTGAGTTGCAGCAGCGTGGCCAGGCACTCGTACGACGCGTGGTCTCTGAGGCCAACACGGCAGATATCTTCACCAAGGCGTTGCCGCCTCGACCACCAGCGTTTCTGCACCCAGCTTGGCCTTGTGCCTGCCCGTCCTCACTTGCTTCCGTAGAGATGCTTTGTCCTGCTTGTCTTGTACTCTTGCATCTCATTATATTTGCTATATACCTGCATGTGGACTGGCCTTGTGGCCTCTTGCTTGCTCTCGGAGTGTGTGGTGACTTTGAGCTCCACCCTGAGATTTGTCTTGTTCTTGTGGATTGGTCTTGTGACCCTTGCTTGTTCTTGCTGACCGGTCACGTGACCCTTGCTTGCTCTCAGAATGTGTGTGTCCTTGAGACCCACCCTGAGATTTGTGTTGCTTTCCACAGGACTGCCGTCACCTAGACTATGGGGGTGTGTCAACATATATTTTATATGTTTAGTTTATGTTAGTCTAGGTGTACCATTTCATATTCCTAGGGTTAGCTATATCCTCTTGTATCTCGTTTCCCTTAGTCAATCTTTTCACCCGTTCTAGTCTTGACATCTGCCGCCCCTGCTGGCCGTGCCATGGTCCCCTCTATTGCTTCAGCCGCAGCCCCAGCTGCTGCGGCGGATGCAGCCCCCTCGTCTGTCTGTGCCGCCTCTGCTATCCCCTCTCCCGCTGCAGCCCCCGCTGCGCCCTCCCCCGCTGCGGCCGGGGCACCCGCCCCCGCCACACTCTCTCCCAATTCAGCCCCCCCCAGCCCTCTCACCTATTGTAGCTCCTGCTGTCCGCCCCCCTGCTGCACTTCCCCCTGCTGCACTTACCACTGCTGTAGCCTCTGCAGCTATCCCCACCACACCACCCTTCTCTGCTACTGCCCCCCCTGCTGCAGCCTCTGCTGCACTGCGGCCCGCTACCGCAGCGGCACACCAGCATGACCCGATCAACAAGGGCAGGGGCAGCTACCGGTAGTCAGCGGTCGAGGGACTTTTGAGTTGACTCATAAAGTCACAATCGTATCAGACGATGGCAAACCAGCATGACCAAGTCAACAAGGGCAGGCAGCAGAGCAGGTCAGCGGTAGAGGGACTGGGTCTGCATGTTGTGGCAATCTCTGTCGCCCACAGTTACCCAGACTCCAGCAGCTTCTCCTTATACGTGCAGCAGCTCCTACCTTAGCACACAGCTTAACAAACGGCGCTTGGGGATCTTCTACGAGGCACTTGTCCGTGGGAAGCTGCGTGCACCATATGGCTGAGTCTCCTGCACTTCCACTTTCTCACCATTGCCACTTGGGTGCCTCTCATCTCAACCTCACTCTCACTCAGCTCAGCTCCGCGAACGAAGGCCCAGCCTGTAGCAGCCAAGTCATCATGGCGCGGCACGGCACAGCACCTGCAGGACACTTTGTCCTGCTTAGGAGTTTGTGCCCACTCTGTCCTGCTCATACCACAGCATGAGCCGGGGAAGGGAATCATGGCACGGCACAGCACCTGCAGGAGGACGCTCTGCCCTGCTTGAGTGCTTGCTTGTGCCCAGCCGCCTTCCTAAGCAAAGATATGCACACCTAACATAACCACACAACTGCGGCGGCTGCCGCTTTATCCCCTGCCGCCTGATGTGCTGCAGCTCTCCCAGTCTCTTCCGCAACTACTACACCCACCAACCCAGGAGCTGCCCCCTCTGCCACAGGTCCTGCCCCCCCTGACACAACTCGCAGTGTCCTTCCAACAGCCTCTGCTGCCCTATCTGCAGCCCCTGCCATCCCAGCTGGGGCCTGTGCCACTCCTGCTGTGGTCTCTGCCGCCCTTGCTGTGGCCTGTGCCACTCCTGCTGCCCGAGCTTCCCGCGCTATCCGGCTCGTGCCGTCCGTGCCTGCAGCACTGTCCACTGCGGCCTCTGCCGCCCTTGCTGTGGCCTGTGCCACCCCTGCTGTACGGCCCGTGCTGCTTGTGCGTGCAGCCACATCCTCTGCTGCTCCTGCAGCCCCGTCTGCTGCCATTCGTACCGATTCAGGGCCTGCCGCTTCTGTGGCGGCTCCCAGGGCCCTTTGTGGTGCATCTGCAGCCCCGCTGCAGCACTCGCCGCCCCGCCAGCGGCTCCTGCCGCCACCACTGTGGCCTCCCCCCCCCCCCCCCCTACTGCGGCCTCTGCCGCCCCTTCAGTGGCTTGTGCCGCCACTGCTGCCAGTGCTGTCCCGGCCGTGCCGCTCTTGCATGCGGCCCTCTCCTCTGCCACCTCTTCAGCCCCAATTGCTGCCGTCCCCACCGACTCAAGAACTGCCGTCCCAGCGGCCCTTCCTGCTGCCCTTCCTGCTGCCCCCCCCCCCCCCCCCCCCCCCCCCCCCCCCCCCCCCCCCCCCCCCCCCCCCCCCCCCGTGCTTTGGAGCGTGCGTATGCACCCTCGCGGTCCTGCTCCTGCTGGTGCGGGCGTGGCTGGGTTTCGATCTCGTCTAGTGCTCGTTTATGACCTCGTGGGTCAGTGTGAGTGTCGCCGGCGCTTGCCTGGTCACCAATAGACGGGTTTTTCTTAGTAGTGGGAGGGGGGGGCAAGAGAGGGATAGGGGGTAGGGCGGCCCTGGATCCTGCCGGAGCGTCGGGTTGGTCCAGAGCCAGCCTCACCCCCACCAAGGGGTTGGCGGGGCATGACTAAGGTGGCTGCATGGTCGGGGAGGGGAGGTATGGGGGCATGGGAGTTGAGGGGTATGTGCGCGCAGGAAGTAGGAAAAAAGGGGGAGAGCTGGGTCTGACCTGGGTGGCCCGAGTTCCTGGAAAGGGGCGGAAGGGTGGTGGGAAAAACATATGACAAAAAGGAGGGGGGACTCTGACGCCTGGAGGGAAGGGAGCGGGAGATGAGGGGGAGGTGGAGAGAGGTCAAAACTCAAGAGAAGGCATGAGCCCAAGGGATAACGGAAGGCAAAAGGAGGGAGGTTGGGGAGTTGTGGGGTGGGCAAGAACCACGTTTATGGTGCTGTGTGCGGGACTGGAAAAGGGGGATGCGGTCTAGATTCAGTACTGGAAGGGTTGGGAAACAGAGCACTAGCTGTCTTTCGGAAATTCTGGTTTTGTTTTGTTTTCTCCTATATTTTATTCCTTTTTTTTCCAATTTTCTATTTATATTTTCTCTTGTGTTTGTACTACGACTATAGTATGGCTGCGGGTATGCAGGTAGTGCTAGGCGGCGGGCGAGCGGGCAGTGCTTGGCGGCGGATTTGTGGGTAGTGCTTGGCGGCGGGTATGCGGGCTGTTACACATACCTACCTCACGCACCTAACTCGCTACTAAGTCGACCTAGTTAAGTCGAGACATTTCTCGACGGAAGGTTGAATGACGAGAGATTGGGTTAAGGAGGTTTGGAATATGAAAATGTTGGTTGGGAATATCCAACCCTCAACCTTGAGGCTTGGGAACTTCCAACCCATCAAAGTGAAGATTGGGAAGGTTGGATTTCCAACCAATCACATTGTGCCAGTTGTTGTTACAATCCAACCAAACAACAAAACAACCATACAACACAATTAAGTTGGGTTTTCCCAACCAAACAAAGATGCCACATAGGCTTCAAGCCTAGAAGCTCCAAGCCTAGAAGCTCCCCAACCATGGAAGCCATGGTTGGGAAGAGTCCCAAAGGGTATTATGGAAGAGGTTGAAGCTTTGAAACTCATTTCTCACTTCCCAACTCCAACTTACCAATTTGGAAATGGGATTTCTCTAAGTATTTTGGTTCTCCTAACAAACTCTCCTACACAACTAGAGTTGTGAAGAAGTTCTACAAGGAGATACCTACCTACTCAAGCTTCATCAACAACCATCTCAAGTTCTCCTTTCAAGCTCCTTAATAATATTCCAGTGCTAGAATATCCCTTGGTGGGATTAGTTTAAACTTGGAAGCCTTGTATCTTGATTTTATATATATTGTCAAGTCCCTCAAGACGGGCTATCCAACAAAGGGAGTTGGACAGAGAGGGGGAGTAGGAAGCGGAAGCGGGATGGCGAAGCGGAAGACGATGTCGCAGAGTACACGGAAGTGACACTGGCTCAAAGGTGGGGTACACACTTCAACCATGTCATGTTGAAGTGTGCTGCGATGGCAAAGGAAGGACGAAGACCTACAGCCAAACGGGTTGCGCCGGAACTTGCAGGTTTGGCAGACCATGGGGCAGGGGACCACAACAATTGTGGGCATGGGGATGAGGTACCCAGGTGTGTGGCAGAGAAGTGGGGACCGGAGAGTGCAGTTTATGAGCGAGGCTCTGCGGCCCATTTGGCACTCAAAAAATGGTTGGCTGAACATTGCAGTCCGAAAGAAATGGAGGTCTACGTGATGGAGGCGAGTAACTGGGTTAATGAATATTTCCATTCCCTTGTGATCAGGTACGCCCTAAAGCGTATAAGATTTCAGGGGAGTATGGTGGCGAGAGTCGGCCTTGCGGCCTTGCACTGGAACCGGACTGTGTCACGCTTGGTCCGCGTCATCAAGACTCATGTCCGAAAGACAATCAGGGTACGGCGTGGCAACAAGGAGCGGAATTTAGAAGCCATGGACTGGAGCTGGTTTGACAAGCTCATGTCCGGATGGCGAGATGTAGGGTTGGAGCCTGAGGATGTAATCCCCCCGGCGCAGGGACAGGATGATGATGAACAGCCGAACCAGGTTCTAGACGATACAGCCCCTCCTACGCGAGTGCCCGCACACGCAGCTCCACCAGCGCAGGGGGCAGCAGATCCATCCCCTCCCGACCTGTCCCAGCTACAGCCACCTTCCACTCCACTAGCAAGGATCACCCCCACGAATGACGTGACCACACCAGCCACCCCCCCCACTGCCATATTCACATTTACCTCGACTGGTGACCTCACGCCAACTAGCTGGGCCGATCGATGATGGAGGACGAGATCCAATCCTCGTCGGGCCTCCGCATGCAGGCCGCTTTTCCGTATGTACAAAAACAACACGCACCAGGCTGCTGGTGGCGTATGGATTTTTTTTTGTATTGAATAGATTGTGTCTTTGTTCTATTATTACATTTCCACCTTTTTTTCAGGGGACATCACCAACCTTAGATGATGCGGCAGAGACAGATATCTGTACTGTGAGTGATGCGACAATATTGAGATGGGGAGGGGTATAGGTGCTGCTGGAGGGGAAGAAAGATGAGCCCAAGGGGGAAATTTTTGATGGCGACCCTATTTTTGAACAAGATATGCGTGTGGTTGCATGTGTTTTCAGTTGGTATAGACCATGTGAGGCAGCATGGGTGTTTGGCCAAAGGTACACAACAAACACCCAACCCACCCTCCCCACCATCCCTTTTAATTCAACGACTCACACTGTTTTTTCCACCCATGCGGTCAGACTACAAGACTACCATCACCACATAGACGCATCTCATCACACCAAGAAGGAGAAAGTCCGACATTTGGTAGGATATGACCCCAACCTTGACTTCCACAATGGCTCTCACCTTGTTGCCATACGTTTCCTGCTCCACGTTGCTAGTTTCATGCCCACCCTTATTCTGCATGTTTCTGGATTGTTTGCTGCATATTGCCCGACATTCTGCTTGTTTTCTGGACTGTGGGAGAAGGGGAGAAATTCAAGGGGAAAACACAGATGGAACAAGGGGGAGGGTTGAGCATGTCAGAAACAAGAAGTAGAAAGTTTAGAAACAGGAAGAGGGGTTTCACTAGCAAGCAGTTGGATACATATAGCAAACCCTAATTGGGCTGTACTCACTATGGAGTACCCCACTGCAGGCTAGACAATTATAACATTCTGACACACCCCCATAGCCAAAGTGGGGTGTAATCAGCACAATGAGCAGGCATAGCAGTAGTTCACAATTATAAGCAAAGCTAGTGGTAGTCACAGCGGGCAAGTGAGGAGGAGGAGGGACTGTGAGAGGAGAGAAGATGAGAGACGACGGCTGAAGCTGCAGACACACGGGCAACAGGAGCGGCTGGCACAGTGGCTACCGGGACAGCGCCTCGGACTACTGGAGTAACTGGCTCGGCGGCTACGAGGAGCGGCAGGAGCAACGGACCCACGGGCGACAGGCGCAGCAGGCTCTCTGGGCTACCAGGACAGCGCCCCGGACTACAGGTGCCCCGGACTACACCTCCACCCCCCTCAGCAGCAGCTGCAGCAGTGGGAGACGAACAAGGAGGAGGGGAAAAGGGAAGGGGAGCACCCACACCGCGCACCCCCATGCTCGCCACCCCACACCCCCCACCACCGCAGAACGCACGGCGGCACGAGAGTAATGGGCAGCACGGGGGGGGGGGGGGGGGGCGGGGGGGGACGGGACAGGAAGGGGCCGCGAGCGCCTAGCCAGGGCGCCGCAACGGACCAGCAGGGGCCGCGCGCGCCTTGCCAGGGCGCCGTGACGGTCCTGCAGGAGCCGCGCGCGCCTGGCCAGGGCGCCGCGACGAAACAGCAGGGGTCGCGCGCGCCTGGCCAGGGCGCTGCGGCGAAGCAGCAGGGGCCGCGCGCGCCATGCCAGGGTGCCGCGACGGGACGGGCGGGGAGCGCGCGCTGCCCCCCAAGGCGCCACGACGGACGGGCGGGGGCCGCGCGTTGCCCCCGAGGGCGCCACGACGGACGGGCGGGGGCCGCGCGCGCCTCGCCAGGAAGAAAAAAGGGCCGCGCGCCCCCCGGGCGCGCGCCACACAGGGAAACCGGAAAAAAAAGGGTACGAAGAAAGGGTAGCGCGCCCGGGGCGCGCGACAGCAGTAGAGCAGCGGAAGCATTAGGTGGTGGGCCCACCCACAGGATCGACCCAAGGGGATCGACCTGCTCTGAAACCATGTCAGAAACAAGAAGTAGAAAGTTTAGAAACAGGAAGAGGGGTTTCACTAGCAAGCAGTTGGATACATATAGCAAACCCTAATTGGGCTGTACTCACTATGGAGTACCCCACTGCAGGCTAGACAATTATAACATTCTGACAGAGCACAGGGGGAAGACAAAGAGGGACCGCTTGTGCTCCTTCGACATCTTCTTCACCCCCTCGCAATACCCCTCCGTGCGGCGTGCAGTTGGACCTGGAGTCCATCCTCTGCCCAACACACACCAATTTTTTCTACATCATCATATCATCTCCACTCTCTATCCTTGATCATAACCCTGTTTGTCTCTCCCATCCTCCTCCCTACTATTTCCATTCCCTGTCCATACTGCAGGTGCAACGAGGGTCCATCCTATGGCCCAAGTGATTCTGTTTTGTCTCCCCAAGTAAATCTGTGGGGACAAACTGGTTGGTCGGATCACTCTTCAAGGGCGTAACCTTGGATTCGGATGCGCTGTGCTAGCGACAACTGAACGACTAGGCACGGATATGGCACCCATTCTAGTCGTGGCCATTGAACCTTGCACACGTCGTCCATCCCGCTCCTCCCCTTCATCATCTTCACCCTCCTCTCCAATCCTGAAACCAAGCAACAGCCGTTATCGACGCCCATGTCGTCGTTGCGACATTGCTGTCAGGGTGGTAGAATCGTGGAATGATGGGAATCACACGGTGGGATAGTGAAGGAGAGGTGAGGGACATAGATGGAAGGAGTGTGGGATGGAGGGATGAGGTCCTAACACGATGACAGTAGGCCAGTGGTGGACAGATGGTCATAGATGGCATAGAGCACCGACTCATTGTTAGAGGAATTGTGCAGAAAGCGTTGGGTTATACGTTGGAATGGAAGTGAGTATGCACGCGGTGACAAATTTTTATTGATTTATTGCCAAAAATACATATTAAACACCCATAGTTGTGGAAGCTTGTAAGGAGCCATTGAGAAGAATGAAGAACGAGGATGAATGAACTATGAATGAGGTGAGTACATATAGAAAACCCTAATTGGGTTGTACCCCCTATGGGATACCCCACTATAGCCTACACAACAGCATAAGCTATATAATGTTCTGACACACCCCCATAGGCAAAGTGGGGGAGAACAAGGGGTCACAAGACCAGTCAAGCAAAGCAGAGCAAGCTCAGGGTGGATCACAACGTCACCACACAGTCCGAGCACAACGACAAGGCCACAAGGCCAGTTCACATGCAGGAGTACACATATATATATATAGAGCTAGACAAGCAAGAGCAGGTATATATATGTGACAGTACAAGTAAGGTCAAGAGGAGAGCAAGTGAGGCAAGACAGGTACAAGACCCAGCTGAGTGCAGAAGCGCTGATGGTCACAAGGCGCAAGTGCCTTGGTGAACACATCAGCAGTGTTGGCCTGAGAGGCCACGTACGCAAGTCGCAACTGACCACGCTGCTGCAGCTCACGAGCAAGAAAGTAACGGAGAGCAATGTGCTTCGTTCTGTGCTCCAAGCGCTGCTCTCGACACAAGGCCAGCATGGCCTTGTTGTCTACGTACAGCACTGGAGGAGAACGAGGCGGCTCTCCAAGGTCAGTCAGCAGGTAGGTGAGCCAGCGAAGCTCCTGTGCAGCCATGGCCCCGGCGTAGATCTCAGCCTCACAACTGGAGCCGAGAACAGAGGACGAGCGAGTAGCTCGCCACGAGACAGAGCCGGAACCAAGACTGAAGGTGTAACCCTGCGATGACCGCTGCGTAGCCTGGTCGTCAGCCCAAGAAGCGTCCGCGTGCCCAGTGAGGACCACTGGACTCCGCCCTCCAAGCACTAGTCCCATGCCCGACGTACTGCACAAGTATCGCAACACCCTCTTCGCTGCAGCCATGTGCTCTGGTCGGTGTCTCCCAGGAGCAACATAGCGTGCAAGAATGCTAAGAGGGTATGCAAGGTCAGGTCGTGTGCAGGTCATCAGGTACATGAGGCAGCCAACAAGCTCTGGATACGGGCCACTCGACTCTACGGACTCATCCGAAGGCAGAGCTGAGAGTGAGTGGCGAGTAGGCAGAGGAGTGGCCTGAGGCGAGGAGTACGTGAAGCCGAAGCGCTGAAGGACCTGCTGCACCATGTGTGACTGAGTCAGGGTAATGGTGCGACGTGCTCTGTCCCGGGTGATCTGCAAGCCAAGGTAGCTGCGCAGTTCACCCAGGTCTGTGCACGTGTGTCTCTTCTGCAGCTCGGACTTCACGTGGGCGAGTCCAGCAGTGTCAGCTGTGGCAAAGACCAAGTCGTCGACGTACACGAGGATGTAGAACGGCGGCAGAGAGGTGTCGGTGCGTA